TCATTTACTAAGTTCCTGTTGGATTAAAGCTTGAAGTTAATGTAATACATGTTATCTAGCCATTCAGATAGAAATTTGAGCACAAATTGGGAGAAAACATTGTGTTAAGAATTACATCCAAGCATCTTTTACGCCACATGAAGCTTGCTCTATAGAAGAGGGAATTGTGGATGTAATAGGTGGCACAAAAAGTATAAATGGTGACATTGAAAAGTTGATAATTTAACCGAGATAACTACAGAATCGCTTGAAGTTTTATCTTTTTTCCCCCTATTTCTCTTTGGTAGTTGGGTCACTATTTTTGGATATAATTTGATTGAACTATAATTGCATTTAGGTGCAAGAGAAGCAGTTGGACTGATTTCTCTAAACCGGAAGGTGAGCTTTGTATGCATTTTCTATTTCTTTACTTTTGTATATCCAAATCTCCAAGTGTTTTGGCTAATCTTTAAGTTGGGCAATTGATTGTTTGTTGATATATGGCTGTATGATGGACATTCTGCTCGAATCTGATTTATATAGCAGCGAAAATATGCAAGCCTAGAAGAGGACTATGTGGAGAGGAATAGAAAACGGTGTGAGCAGCGAGCTGCTTCAAATGCAAATCACGATACCGAAACAATTCCAAGTTTATGTACTATGGCCGTGATTGCATTTAACGTAGCCAGCCAGTGAGCAAAGTGCAGTCAACTAATGTTAATTCCTCCATAGACTATCTAGGTGGTCAAAATGAGTGATTTGGACAGATTTGGGTTGGGTAAAATGGGTAATGGGTATAAATGAGTCAACCCATTTATACCCATTTAATTAGATGGGTATAAATGGGTAAGTCAAAAAATGAATTGGGTAACCCAATTATCCATTTATAACCTATTTATTTTAATTTTTTGTAAACTCATTTAAATTTATTTTTTCAAACTAAGTTATCAATTTATACTGCTCTTTGTATCCACCATTAATTTTAAATATTTACTTATAATGTTCAATAATCCCAATTACCAATTTTTTTCCATTTATACTCAATGTCACAAAATTACATATTATTTAATAATTGAATAATAAGAATAAAAAAATTGAACTAAGGACTATAAAAGCTAATATAAAACTTAATCTAAAAAATTTTAACCCCTAACATTTTTTTCATATATAAATTTAAAATTTCATTTTAGAAAGATAAGAAAAGAGGCTAAAACTTATCATAAATTGGTAATGCTAAAAAGTGAGCAAATTAACAAATTAAGAGAAAATAAAATAATAAGATAAAACAAACAAATAATAATAATAGTGAAACAAAAGTAGTTACCATCATAACAAAATGAAATATTTGAAAAAAAAAAAAGGGTGGGAGAAGATAAAAGACTTGGGGGAAGAGAATTCTAAATGGGTTAATTGAATTTGATGGATTACCCAATAATACCCATTTATTAAATGTGTATGATTGGGTAACCCATTTATATCCATATACAAAAATTTAAAATATCCATACCCACCTATTCATGGATGGGTATGGGTAAATTTAGTTAAGTTTGCCACCTATAGTTCCTACCTATCATCATGGTAGCTTTTCAGTTGTTTCTATCAGTCCCGTCTTTAATCACCCTACATGTTGACCTATTGATAACTTGGGTATGTAAAGCATGGTTTATTTAAACTTGGCAATTTTTTGCTTCTTTATGTTAAGATATAAGGGACCTAATTCAATTAATTATGCTCCCGTGTAATTATATTTATTCGAGTAAATTGTGTTAAGTCTTAGCTAAACATATAATGGAATTTAGACATTCTGGATTTAGTGACAGATGTATCACCATTGTAGATGAATATTTGCACCATTTGTACATGAATTTCCATATTAGAAAATTATGTGTATTGGATTATATATAGAGACCTAAAATTATGTATGTTAAGCTTACACCTGGGCATAGCCAAAAACTAGTAAAATTAACAAGTCTAAATCCCATAAAATGTTTGCCTAGGATCAATAAGGTTTTATGAAGTCCATTTTGTTTATTTCTAAGTACTAATACTCGATTCCATTTCAGTTGAAAAAAATTACATTCAATTAATATATATATATATATATATATATATATATATATATATGCATAAGTATGTATGTATGTATATTAGTATATCACACAAACTGAAGAGGCAAAAGATAATTGAAAACATTATATTTGATCTAATTTCCATTTTTTTCAATGTGCTTATATGGTGCCTAAGGGCACCAAATAGAAAAAGGGGTTAAATGCAAAAATCCCCTACAAACTATCATCCCAATTGGGCAACAAATAAAAAAAGGGTTAAATATGCAGAACCCCCTTATGAACTATCATCCCAATTGCACGTACTTGACAGCCTAAAGTATTTTAATAGGCAATTTATACCTTTGGTCAACTAAAAAATGATGAAAAATTAACTCCATTCACATAATTGATGAAATGACCAATTATTCCTCCATTAAAAGTTTAAATGGCAAAAATACCCTTTTGATGGGCAATATTACTACTTTAAATGGATTAATTTTCACTTCATAAAAAAGTCTAATTGAAAACACATAAAAATAAAACACAAGGTCACTTGCAATAATAATTAAAACAAAACAAGTAGAAGAAAGTGAATAAATTGGCTTCAATTCAAAAGATTGCTATCATGGAAAAGACATTGTAAAATCTTATTTATTCCTGTAATTGTGACCTATACTTTTGGTTTCTCTTTGTATGCACTAAGTGAAATTTTAAATTTTTATTGAAATTTCTAAGTTTATATATATGTGTGTGTGTGTATATATATATATATATAATGTTAGTGGTAGGTATTAAATCCAAAATCTCTTACTTATAATCTCTCTCCACCTTACTACCAATCCCTCTCTTCTAAGTCCATTATTTTGTTTGCTAACATCAGCGATTTAATTTAGGTCTACTATTGAACCTTGTTGCTATTATGGTGCTAAATTCATATGAAATTTTTGTGTTTTATCCCGGTTAAATACTCGTAAAGATTTCAAGTGGAATTCCATGACGTTATGATGTACCAAAGAAGAAGATAACGAGATTGTAGAAATTGCAATAGTAGCCCTTAGTTTTTTTTTTTTTTTTTGTATTCTGCCCTTTTACGTTTGACCCCCAAGAGTCTTAATTATCATTCAAAGTGAACCCGTATTTTATTTCATTTTTTGTATTTTCTGTTAGGCTTTTCTTATGAATGAAAAGTAGTCTATTTTAAAGTGATAAGTTTTTCCCATCAAAAGGGTTTTTTTGTCACTTAAGCTTTTAATAGAGGACAAATTAATCATTTCATCAAATACTTGGATGGAGTTAATTTTTTCAATTTTGTTAGTTGACTAAGGGTATAAAGTGCAACTAGTATATTAGTTCATGGTTTTTCACAATTTATCGATCGGACACTTTTGTCCCTAAATATCAAGCAGGGAGACAAGGTGTCAATTTAATAAATCCCAAGAATAAAATGCAACGAAGAGTAAAGTTCCACTTAAGAATGCTCATCTCGAAACTCCACACCTTTGATTAACCAAAATTGTTTGGCAATTATCACCGGCCAAATGCGCAACGGATCTTCTATCTCACACTCTGTGCTACTCTCTGTTCCACTTTTTATTATATTGCTATTTCTCCTGCATAAACATCATGTTTTAGTTCTTTTTTGTTTTCTTAAGATCCAATAACTATTAATTGAGTAATACATAAAATTTAACAAACTCAGAAAATCAAAATGCATAAAAAATGAGATTTTTTATGAATTTTCTGCTATATGAATTTTCTTATGAATTTTTTATGGTTGATTTCGGATCTTCTGTCTCACACTCTGTGCCACTCTCTGTTCCACTTTTTTGTTTTATTTCCCGGTCGGTTCCAGCTTTCCAAAATCAACCATATTGACGCCTTCCAAAACCATCAAATGGCCTTTCCTCTTCTTACTTTTCTTCCTACCAAAGTATCCATCCGAAAATACCCATCGCGTTTTCAGTTTCCTCCGGTCAGAAATATCAGAGAATTCAGGAAGTAGTATAGTATTTTCATAAATTTATCTAACAATAAGTTTTCATTTTCCTCAAACCAATAAGAAATTCAAGAAACCGCTTTCAGTTTCCTCCAGTGAATCAAGAATTCAAGAAACAGGGGAAAGAAAGCGAAAAACACAGAACTGTAGGAATTAAATCTAGATCATTATTATTATTTGTTAGTTTCCATATTGTTGGTTCTGATCTCTTAATTATGTCGGTTGTGGTTTTTAAGTCCAAGTCCAATTGTATAAAAGATTCCCTTTGTGGTTCGAAAGCTAAGTTTTAGGAAACTAACTGATCTATATATACCACTACTAGTATTGATGTTTCGTGCGCTGAGAATTGAAAAGATAAAAAATTGATTGTTGCCTCCCGAAGCTTTCCTTGCTTCCTTTCTTTCTTCCCTGTGCCGTTCTGGTTGTTTATATTTTCCGCTGCCATAATTGTTTCTTTGGTTTTGAGGTTTGTCTTGATTTGTTTATTCTGTGGGTTATATTCCTACAATAACAGGACAAGAATGGCTTCTTTCTGCACTGCTCAAGAAGAAGAAAAAGATGATTTTTTTGATGAATTACCAGACCCTATTGTGTTTCTGATTTTCAACAAGGTGCATGATGCAAAATCTCTGTGTTTGTCCATGTCTGTTTGCAAACGCTTTCACGCAATCATCCCCGAAGTTGACAATGTTTTCCTTTCGATGCGTGGAGAACATAAGCAAAACAAGCAAAGCAAGCAAAAGCCCATCACAGAAACACTCCATGAGGGTAAGAAATCATTCAAGAACATTTTCACCAAAGCTATTGCGAAGCCCTTCAAATATTTCACTCGATTGCCTAAATCAAGGTCAGAATCTTGTGAATCTGCTGATGAATATAGTTTTTGCATGCCAAAAGAAGCTTTAAAGTGTTTCAGAGCTATTCGTAATTTACAGCTTAACCTCCCAAATCCGACAAGTGATAGTTGTTTGAGTTCAATGATATGGAAAGCCGAGTTTGGGAGCAAACTTGATTATATTCTGGAATTACACGCCAAAGATACTTCAGAAATTGATGAAAGCTACGAACTTTGTAGCTTTGATAAGAATTCTGATAGTGAGGATTCAGGAGAATCATCAATGTTCATGAAAGATGAGGAGTTCGATAAAAGGCTGACAATGATCTTGGCTTGCTTGGTTGTAGCATCTGCGAGGCGCCTGTTGTTTCGCGAGACGTTGAAGGATCATCAGACTTTGCAGAATGTGACAATTTCGGATGAAAAACAGATAGGAACTTTTAGTATGAATCGCAGACAAATTGAAGAGTTCAAAAGAGGTATGAATTCTAGGGATTGGATTAAGAAGACTTTAATGGAGAGTGACAAATCAACGCCATTTTTTCGCATGAAGGTTTGGGATGTGCCTGAGTTGAAGCTGTCAAGATGTACAATGAAGGGGGTAACTCTGGTGGTGATAGAGAGGATTGAAGAGGAGAATAAGAAGGTGGAGGAAAGCTGGGATTGGGTGGTGAAGACTTTTGATGGGGAAGCGGAAAAAGAGAAGGTGTTCAATGAAGCTGTGAGGAAGTTGTTTGAGAAGAAAAGAAGTTACATAAGCAGGGAGATGAACTCATCTTTTGACATTCTTCAATAGTAGGCAAAAGGGATCAAGCAAGGAGATTTGGACCTATTCCACATGAGGAAACAAAGAATTAATTACAAGATTATTTTCCTTTTTTATGTTTTTTTCAATTTTCTTTGAGAGCTTCCATTTGGCTTAGTTGCTGGAGGTGTTTGCTGTCTGTAACTCACTTGGAAGGCTAGGTTTTGTGAAGATAACTTCTCATGTAAATACTTCACGAATATGACTTGCTTATTTTCAATATGTTATAGATTGATAAGCACTGTTGGTTTCCATGTATTCTGCTGTTTGTGGAAATTTGGTCATTTTTGTCATAAAAAGTGCATAATCCTCTCTACGGATTCATACTTATTTTCCTTTCCTTAAAGGTTTTTTCCTGTTCTCATTATTGTTTTGGTTGGTGAAGACTTTATAACTTAATGTTTTAGACTAGAAAAAGGGAATCAATTGGGTGGTGAAGTATATTCATTTGCTATATAAGAGTAAACATTATAAGTTTGTTGATGCACAGATTCCAGTTATATGGACAGACTTATTCATTGTCTTGACAATCATAACTCAGTACATGAACTTGCCAATTCTGTTCTGACATGGTTTAAGAGATCTGCTCTGAAAATTTAAATGCCCTCACGATAGATTGATAATGATGAAATCTTTCTCCAGTAGTTACTGCTGATGAAAGCTTTTTCAAGAAACAAAAGTGCTACTTGCAGCAGGTGGTAATAGAATTATATTTACGATCAAGAAACAATCTGAATCACAAACTCTTTTTAGACAACTAAGTATTGTTATTGGCGAAGAACAAATCTTATCACGAAAGGTGAATTGTTCATTTGACATTACACTGACACACTAAACTTCTCAACATAGTTGAAGACTGTTCAAAAACTCATCTTTTTCCTGCAAATGAAACTGAGAAATATAACAGATGCATATCTGAGAAGTATTGTCCTTGTTCTGTTTTGATTGTACGTCACTCGGATTTCTGATACACTATTCAAGTTCTTGCATGAAGTGTTTATGGGTGTGAGTCCTCAATCCAATAGTGTGAGCACGTTGAAAACTAGTCAAGATTCTTTGTGTTATTTTTAATAGAGGAAGGGTGGGATTTAAGAAAATAGGGAACTAAAAGCCTTTAAATTGTGAGATTTTAGCTTTAATCCCTAGATTAAGGCCTGCTCGACCTGATAAATACTCCTTACGCAAATTTTAAAATAACTATTTAATAAAGTTTAGGCTATCGTATCCTAGATAGACTAATTATTAATTCTAAACTTGACGTATTCTGGGACAAATATTAAGCCTATATTGGTTCTTTCTTTTGAAGAAAACACTAAAAGGTTCAACTCTGCTTAATACAGTTTTGGCAAGTAAACATAGGAAATTATATGAGACAAGGCAAAAATTAGGGGGAAAATGCAAATTTCCCCTTCATGAAGGCAAGACATGTCTTTTGTCCCACTTTGTCAAGTAGGACTGTCAATGGGCTGGGCCAGCCCGAGCTCGGCTCGTTCGGCCCGACAGAAAGCCCGATGAGCCCGATCATTTAGTGAGTCGGTCTGAGCTTGAGCCTAAAAATTAGGCCCGAATTAAATGTGAGCCGAGCTTGGGCCTTATTAGACTCATACCCGATATAGGCCCGCCCTTTAATTACCTATATATATAATATTTATATTTTGATATTATGTATAATTATATATCCAAATATATTTTTGCTAAATACTAAATATATATATAAATTACAAAACACAAAAACACATCTAAAGACTCTTTCATGAGCTTTCTTGAGAGCCAATATTAGTAATGCATAACTAAATCTCTAATTTTTTTTATTGGTTGAGTAACTTTTTGTATTGGCATATTATTGTTGATTTTTTTTTTTTTGGTCTACAAACACAAAAATCATCAAGCATATTTGGATTTAAATCACAAGATTATAAAAAAAAGTTTCAACTTTTAAAGATGTATTGGCTTATGATTGCATGTTTTATTACTATTTTTCATGCATTTTAAACGGATTACATATAAATATTGTTGAAAAAATTTTGGTTTATATACTTTTTAAGAACTATTATTTGTTCATGTTTAGTTTTAATATTATAGTCTTGTAAATGTTAAATTAGTTTTACAACTTAATAGTTATAGTAATTATATTAAGAAAATTCAGGAGTAATAAGTGAGCTTGGGCTAAGCCCGATTAAGGCTCACAACCCGAATATTATGTGAGCTGAGTATGAGCTTCACATTTACGAACCCGAACCTCATAGCCCGAAACCCGAAAATGTCTCAAATTAAATGAGCTGAGCTTGAACTCATCAAAGCCCGCCTCATTAGGCCCGATTGACAGGCCTATTGTCAAGGCTAGGCAACAATGAAATATTGATTGCAAACTTGTTAGCCCAAATAGAGGTGCAGACGGCAAACACATAGCAGTTTGTACATAAGAGTGAAAACTGGAACATTGACATAGAAGAAAATAGTAAATCTTATATACACTGACAGTGTATACACTGTCACCATTAGATTCATGATATATATTAAAAGTTGAATTTTAAATTTAAATTTTGCATAGTTATCATTCAGCCAATGCTAACAAAGTATACACTGTCAGTGTAGGAAAGATTAATTAAAAAAAAAAGGAAACTATACAGAATTTATAAATTGGTGTAGAATTAAACTCCTTGAATTTAGTGCTGGGAATTAGAGGTGGCAGACTGCTAGCGCCCTTCTTGAGAGATTCAAAATTCATAAGAAGGGTGAGATGTGGAAAATTTGTGAATAAATTATGAGTTATTATTCAAGAATAAAAAATAATTAATAAATTTATTATTAAAATGCCTAAATTACACTTGTTACAGTGTGTACTTTATTAAATACAAAAGTGCACCTCAATGAATAAAAAAGTGCAACTTTAGTTAATATAGGTGTGTGCACATACAAAATTTGATGGCTGGTAGAGGCGTAAACATGTCTAAATAAGTCGAATATTCTAGTATTTAAGTTTGTTTGATTATTTTGACGAGTTTGAAATTTTATTCAAATTTTGTCTTGTTTACTTCTTGAGTCGAATTCGAGGAGAACTTTTATTGAGCCAAACATGAGCCGAATCGCACTAGCTTGAACTTTTTACACATGATTTCACTTATGAGTTAATTAAGCAAATTCGAGCTGAACTTAAAAGTGTATCAATTATCAAACACAAAACTGCTATTCAAACTTAATTTGATTAGTTGAGGAATTGGGCCCTATTTGGCACTTTGAGCTTTTTACCAAGTTTGTCTGTTATAAGTTTTTTAAAAACTTTAGCCAAATAACCTCAAAAAACTTCTCAAAAATTTTAAATTATACACTTCAAAATATTCAAAATTTACACACTTCAAATTTTTTTAAAAAAACTTCTACAATAACGTAAAGTAAAGTTTTAGACAAATACTCAAAAAATTCATTTCCCAATTCGAGTATTGGGATAGTTTAGTTTGTCTTTCAAACCTAGCGACTAAGCTTTTTTTGGTACACAATTACATATGAAAAAAAAATAAAAAAAGGTCACAAATTATGGATTTGATTTCTCTTGAATGAATTCTCTCTCCATCTCCCACGATGCAAATCTAAATGAATTTCATGACATATGTATTCATTTGTTAGGAAATGATAAGATCATTTTAAATTTAACTAATTCTAATTCTTGTTAATAAATAAAGATATATATCATGCATCCAAATATGTATCGTGAGAAATGGAGAGATAATTTACAAGAGAGGTCCCACAGATTTATATGATTTAATCTGTTTTTCTCCCCAGTCCCACTTTCTTATTTCATTTGCATTTTCCCATTTCTTTTTCCTTAGAGGCAAAAGTAAATTAATAGCCAAATTGGGAACTCAATCGACTAAAATTCAGCCTCCCTAGCCCAAAATCCTTTAAATCTAGCTTTTTTCCCCAAAATGATCAAAACCAATCTGAAAAAGCAGCTATGGAGCCAAAACCCAAGACGGCCAAGCTTTCAAGAGAGAGCCCAGATGATGATTGTCAAGAAGATCGACTCAGTGCCTTGCCGGATGGCATCCTCTGCCACATTCTCTCGTTTCTTCCCACAAAATTTGCAGCCTCCACTTCCGTTTTGTCCACCAGATGGAGGTACATTTTCTTTGGTGTTCCCAAAATTGACCTTGACGTTGACGATATTCTGCTTATCCATCCTCATCAACAAGGAGCAGGCAACGATGTCAATGATGAGAAGGTAGTGGAATCGGAGAAGAAGTTTATGGAGTTTGTTAACAGACTACTTATGAATTGTGAATCTACTTCTGTTGTGAATGAGTTTCGTCTTTTATGTCGAAAGTCGGCTTCTTGCCAAAAGTTTGGGCTTAGCTTATGGATGTCTTTGGTGCTTCCGCGCGTGTTCAGGTTCTTAACATCCTAGTTGATGGTTATACTAATTTTCCGCAGTTTGAAGTCTTTCCATCTGAAATCTTTACTTGTAAAACTCTTGTAGTCTTGAAATTATATGGTTGGCTTGGTCTAAAGGTTCCAAAAGGCTTCTGCTTGCCGAATCTTAAGGTCTTGCATTTGCATACTTTGACACTAGTGGGAGATAATACAGGTTGGCTACTTTCATCAAGCTGTCCATTGCTTGATGATTTGGTGATTGATGGTGTAGAATTATTTGATGTTGGATTAATTGATTTCAGTAGTCCTTCCTTAACAAGCTTGGCGTGGGGTCAGGGCTTGTTGGGTGGCAAGGTTGTTCTTAATAATCCAAATCTTGAGTATTTGGAGTATGCAGGTGATCTATATCCGCTATTGAGCTCAAATTGCAAGTTCAAGTTCTTGTTAAAACTATTCTGGATTTGGAAAATAAGAACATGCCACATGAGCAAGACGCTAACCAGTTTTGTCAATTTATTTGTGAAATGCGCAATTTGGAATTTTTTGGTTTATTTGGGGACTCTTTACAGGTAGTTCTTTGACTTTGAATGTCTTCATTTCACTTGCTTTTCCAGGATTTCATATGTTTCAAAGTATGTTTTCTAAGCATCGTAATGACTTTGCTTTTGCCATGATGTGAAGTGTCTCTATCAGCAGGTCATCTGTTACCTGAATTTATAAATTTGACTCATTTGGAGCTTTCAACAACGCGGGATCTCTATTTTGAAATACTTTGAGACTCTACTGAAGAAGCACACCAAATCTGAAAGTGCTAGTCTGTTACCTGGTGAGTTAGAGAGTTGCCCTAAAATTCTTGAAAGGAAATTGATGTAAGCTCTTCCTTTTTTAGACTGCTTAAGAGACCAAAATCAGTGAACTGATTGGCAAGTGTTTTACTTGTTCATCTTATTCTTGCCTTTTTTTATTTTTAAATCAGAGTCTACTCAAGATGTATGATGATATGCACCTCCACTTCAGCGAAAGAGAGACCACTGTGTCTGAATCAATATCTCAGGGAAGTTAGAGATAAAGAGTTTCTTTATTATCCCAAATTATGGGTTTGATTTAGTAAGATATCTTCTGAAGCATGGAGCAGTCTTACAGAAGATGTCTATACATGTTTCCCACGCCAGAAATGCCAGAAAATTGGTCCTCATCAGCTCGGAGAAGTTAAATAAGTTCTCAAAGTGCTCAAAAAACTGTAAGATCATGCTTATTTAATTTGTGCAGGAAAATGGTTCTTCTAGATGCTCAAATGAGCAGAGGAGATAAAATTTGTAACTTATATAAATAGATAGATGTTGAAGCCATTTTCTCCTTTAAAATCATTGTCTCCCCTGTTCAATGTTTCTGCCTTTAGATGGCTTTCAGTTGTGTACTTCCTGTGAACGATCAGATGTTGATGTTTATAACCCCATGTGGCTAGGCTATGTATATCTAGTATTTTGATCAATTATGGAACAAAGTAAAGTTAGTTTTGTATTGTAATTCTTAGCTATTAGTCATGAACGATTTGCAACTTATGAACTCTCACTTTATGCTGTTTGAACTTCTTTATCCCTTTGTATAACATATGCTAGAGGGCTAAGAATTTATTCTTGTTGCCCATAAGATTTAATCTCAGCAAATAAGCACAGAATCCCAAAAGGTTCCATGAGCAGCCGCATATAGTCAAATTTTGGCTGTTGTTCTCCATAGTTGGTTGGGCTGTCTGTGACAGATTATTTTGCTTACCAAATAATGGTTGATAAATTCGTTCTTCAACTGTTTAGCTTCTTTGCAATTCTGTTCCGAATGTTAATATAGATAATCCTTTGCCTTATTTTTTCAATGGTATTAAGTTGGATATATGGATGAAGAAAAAGTATTAAGAGCGCTTTGTAGATTGACCCCAATTACAAATTTGAGAGCTTTGTAGATTATATCTGATTGACCCCATATATAAATAGATACAAAATTTGTAATATAGGGGTCAATCAATTTTGTATATAATCCCGAAGAAGAGCTATAGTACAGTAGCCTTCTGTTATCTGCTCTAGTTCAACTTAATTTTGAAGTCTATTTTCCTATTTAAGTAAATTGTCTTTAAATGGTCATAGATGGTCACAGTGATAGCATTGTATATGCTTAAATCCAATTGAAATAAATATACAAGGTATTTATGTATTATACTGGCCACTTTCATGTGTTATTCTCTGATGGTACATACTAATTCATTGTAAGTGTACTTGTCACTTAGTCTAAGAGGCTAAGCTATTAATTGTTTTCATCAATTGCTCAAATCGAACGAAGTCAGAGTCTTGTGATCCTGATGCTGTTGGATTTTCTTTGGTTGTGCTAAGTCAAGCTGAAGTCTTCAAGAGGTATCCAAAGTTTAGAGCTTCGCCTTTGAATTTCTTGTTGGGATACTTGGTTGAGATTGTTCATGTGGAAAGCTGAATCTGGAAGCAGTAATCATATTGTTTCGGCATTATGCGCTAAAGAGATTTTGAAAGAGGATCAACGCTATACCTTTTGTAGCTGTGCTTAGAACTCTGATGATAAGGGTTCTGGAGAGTCATTGGTGCTAGTCAGTGATGAAGCTATAGACAGAATGTTGTTGTTATGAATCTCCGCTTTCAGCTTGTAGTATATACTAGGAATCAGCTGTTTCAGAAACCTTGAGGCTGAGGATCATCAAGTTTTTCAAAATATGATGATTGATCGATGAAAGACATGTAGGAACTTTTAAGTATGAATTGTCAACAAACTGAAGAGTCCAATACAGTTTGGATTCAGGGGATGGGAATAAGAAGACATCACTGGAGAGCAATAAACCAAAGCTGGTATTTAGGATGAACACGTGGGATGTGCCAGTGTTGAAGGCTTTTGATTGGAAGTGGAAAATGAAAAGGACTTTGGAAATTAAATATTGAAAGAAGTTAAATGAGCTGGTAGATGAGCTCGATTCAAAATTCTTGACTAGTGAAGGGCGGGCAAGTTAGGAAGCAAGAAAATACCGGATTAGGCAGTGAGAGTTGAACCTATTCCAGCTGAGGAAACAAAGCATTGATTACAAGACTGCTCTTGTTCTCTGTCTTTGTGTTTGTAAAAGCTGATAAGGCTGAATATTGTTATATCCTTGAGATGTCCTGAAAGATATTGAGCTGCAAGAAGTATATCAAGCTGGATAGTTGAGCAATTCAAAAGACAAGCTTCATGTGATTGCTTTTGTGAAGATAACCTCTCGTGTAAATACTTCAATTTTAGTTGCTTATTCTCAATATCTTAAAGAGATTTAAGCCCTATGGTTTGCCTAGAATCTATAAAACTTTGGTCCTTCTCTGTGGCCTTCATGTTTACTGCACTAGGTATCTTCCTTCATGTTCTTCGAGTCATAGTTCCAGGATCGTATTTCAACAGTTTTTAAATTTTAAAACGATTTGAATTGTGGGCTATTCTCAATAATTAAGAATGGATGGTGATTCAGAACAAAATCACGCCACAAATTGGGGAATGTCAATACTTAAGTTGTGTATTCTTGGAGCAAGGCTCTACACAGCTTTAGGAGATTATTCTGGCCAAAAGACTGAGATACCTCTTAGTAGTATATACACACACACACACACACGTAAGTGAATATACAAACATCCTAAACTTCTTAACAACCACCTCAATCAGTTGAAGATCATTAAGAGTTTATCTTTTTCCTGCCAAAGACGACCAGTTTGCATGGCTGAGAAATATTGTCCTCATGCGATACGGATTGTATAACCCTGAGATTCCAGGTTCACTACTCAAGTTCTGCAATGAAATATTAAAGGGACCATTTGTTTCAATGGGTGGTGTTCTGTTAAATTACGAGTCCAGTTACGAGTCCTCAATCCAACTGTGTAGAAGAATCTACTGATGCTAAATCATACTTTCATCAGGCTGATAAATTCTCCTAACTACTCCTAACTAACTGTTTTTACTAAATGCTAGACCAGCTTATCGTGGATAGACCAAATATTAAGTCTTAAAGTTCTTAACCACTGGAACTACAAATGCAATTAAGTTGGTTTTTGCGTTCAAGACTAACATGCTCCATTTCATTGGATCAATGTCCTTAATAAATCAACAATAATAGGTTCTTTTCTATAATTTTTTTTGTTTTGGATGCAACTTTGAAAGGATAAATGACTAAACTTGTTTTGGCAAATACGCTTTTAGGAGATTTAAATCCTGCAATGCCAAAATTTAGGTGGAAAATGCAAATTTCTCCTTAGATAAGGCAATATGGATTTTCGAAATTCCTGCTTTTAGATGCAATGTTGGAGTGTGACCAAGGAAACACCTTCTTCTTCTTTTTCTTTTTCTCTTTTTCTTTGACATCCCCTAAAAGTTTAGGAAACACCTTGAACTCGTTTGGGACTCTCACTCGAATCAAAACTCTCTAAAAAGGTGAGCCTTCCCTTCCTATAGATTAGGAGTGGTAGTACCTGTCGAGTTGAGCCCTCCTCTAATATATATTAAAAGTAAGAATAGGAGCATAGATAGAATTTTTTTTCTCTCTCTCTCTCCCATTTCTTCCTCTCCTCTCCTTCCCTCTTCCTACTTCCTCTCCCTCTCTTTCTCCCTTCCCCCTCACCTCCCCTCTCCCCCGCCATTTCCTTCCCCAACCCTTCCCCACCTTCCAATTGTGCTAGGAGAGGGGAAGGGGGAGGATGGTCAGGGAAGGGAGGGGGACGAGATGGGAGGGGAAGAGAAAAGGGAGAGAGGAGGAGGAAAGGGAAGGAGAGAGGAAGAGAGGAGGGGAGAGGAAAAGGGGAAAGGGAAAAAGAAAAAAAAAAAGGGTTGTCGAGTGGCGGACATAGATGGGTTGAGGTAGGGGAAGAAGAAGAAGAAAGGAAGGAAGGGATTTTTTTGTGTGTTTTTTAGTATTTTGAAATGTGTAGTTTAAAAATTTGAAGAAATCTTTTGAGATTATTATATGTAAAGTTATTAAAAAATTTCTAAGAGAAAAACTTGACTAAAAACTCCGCTTCCAAACAGGGCGGACGATTCAAAAGAGAGAGAGAGAAGAAAAATAAAAGTTAATTGCACTTGAACCCTGGTAATAATGGCACGTTGCACTGAACCCACCTAAAATGTTTTCATCAACAATTTTCACCATTGACACAGATTTGGATATGGATTTGCATCAAGTGTACAATGGAAATTTTGGAGATAAAAATAAAAGGATAATAAAAAAATGACCAATTAAATCATACAAGTGTTTCCACCTTTTAGTTAAGAGTAAAAAACAAAAAATCCCCTGTGGTAAATCTAACATACAGAAAAGCCTCCCATGATTTCAAAACATACAATACGACACCCCATACTTTGAACTAAATTGTAAAGGTGACGGAATCCGTTAAACTTAATGGAAATGGACGAAATGACCAAATGTCCTGATATAATTAAGCATAAGACGGCTCAAAAAAATTATTTGTTTTATTCTCTAAATAGAGAGAATGGAGGGTTAAGGAGTAGAACAAGTATATTTGTTAAAAATTAGGTATAAAATTTTTTTTTAGCTTCCAATAAGTCATTTCTGTTAAGTTTAACGGATTTCATCATCTTTATAATTTAATTCAAAATATGAGGTATCATGCGAGAAACTTTTCTGTAGGCGGTAAAAATCTGAAGTCATTCACCTTAAGAAGCTTTGACATGAGTATGAATAGAAGGCTTATGAAATAACTAACTGGACGTCTGGGTCTGTTTGGATTGTA